CAGAGCCTCCAGCCTCGTCTTTCCTGAACTCCTCACCCCACCCTAAGGCCTTTTCGGCCCCCAAGTCAGGTTCCACCCAGGCAGAGGCTGCACCTGTCAAAGGTGTGTGTCTCACCCTGACATGTGGAGATGCCTTCTGGGACATCCTGGAGAGGAGCAGCATACTCAGGGAGTCCTAGCCCAGCAGCAACACAAGCTCACTCTGTTTCTGGCCGGTCCTTGTCAGTTGGACCCTGAGCTCAGAGCCTGGGCTGGGCCAGGACAGGGTCCTGGGTGTGAGACCCTCAGAGTGGTGCATGGTGACTAATACCATGGCTCCCTTGGAGCAGAGTGTTTTGCTGACTTTCCCAGATTCCAGAGGATGGAGCCCTCCTACCTTTCCTGAGCACTCAAGGTAGATTTGCTGATAGTGATCATGTGGGTTCGATGCCAATGACACCGGCTTTTCTGCTGAGGGCCACCTTCCTGTCAGTCTCCCTTTCCCTGGCCCCTCCACAAGGCACACACTGCTGCATCGTCACAGGAAATGCAGGGCCTTCTGGATCTGGCTTTTTGCTCACTGGCATTTGGCAAATGGCTCTTGATTTATTAACACAGACGGATTTGTTAACACTTGGCCAGGTGAGACCCCTGTCCTCAGCCTAGGTTGGCTTCTCTCTTTCTCTGTGGAAGAGCTTGACTGTTCTCTGATTTTCATGATCATGGTTGTGTGCATATACAATTTCCATACTAGGAGTAAGAGACAGCACCTTCATTGATATGTAATTCATTTAACTTGGGAAAATCTCAGTCCATTTCCACAGATGGCTTTAAAGGCTGTGAGGAGGTAGAGGAAGGACTTGCTCAAGGATCATGTGTATTATTTCATGTCCGGTCTCCAGTCTCCAGCCTCCAGAGTGGGGCAGTGATGCAAAGCCCGTCTTGGGTTTTCAAATGTAAGGCGCCAGCAAACTGAGGGCAGATTCAGCTGGAAAGGGGCCAGGAATTGCATTTACTTCAGTCCCTACCTCAGCTCAGCCACTGCACCACTCTGTTCCCCCGCCTGCCCCTCCTGGTTGCCCAAATCTTCACTACTAGGGTTCTGCCACCAGCTTCTAGCCTGGCCTCCCATGCATGCCCAAGCTTGCAAACCAACACAAGCCAAGTGCCCTGCGGGAGGCTTTTCTGCCTGACCGCCCCAGGCGTCTTCGTCCTCATGGTGCACTGGAGATTGTTTTCATCATTAGGAGACATCAATGTGCCCTCACTGTGCCAGGATCGGGGTTCCCAGGGCCCCACCAGGTCCACACATGAAGCAGCCTCTAGTCTGAGATTTTCCTTTCCAAGGTTTCAGTTATCCATGGTCAACCAGGATAAAAATCTGATAATAATCTTGGAAAGTTCCAGAAGTAAACAATGCACGAGTTGAAATTGCAGCCTGTTCTGAGCATCATGGTGGATCTCAGGCTTCCTGCTCTGTGTCCCCCTGCCCCGTGGACCTCTGCTGTGCTGTGCATATACACAGGAAAACACAGCACAGACAGGCCTGGGGCGTTCCTGGGGGGCCTGGATCGTTGTCTCCACAGACAGGGTTGACTGTCAAGCGAAGGAAATCAGAGGATTTGGGTTTGAAAATGCAGCTCTGGGCTCATTTGGTTGAATTCACCCTTTCTTTTCATTTCTCTCTCTTCACAACAACTAAATTAAAGTCTGTCCCTGACATGCAGCTAACCATGCCTGCCAGCTGCCACCAGAGTCCTGGTCCTTCCTGGTAGAAGTCGCCTTTCTTGGTCCCCTGGCCCTCAAGGCCCTGCTGCTCACTGTCCTCCAGGTACCCTGTGCCAGAATAGCCACCTCAGGACTTCTGGTCTGCAGGTTCCAGCAGGCCTGGCTTCTTGGAAACACCCTCAGAGGCCAGGTTTTGGCCACAGATCTCACGTCACAGGTCAGGAAACAAAGGAGCAATTCATTCTCTGGAGAGCTTGCCAGGGTTCCACGCAGCAGTTTCTTTCTTGAAATTCCTTTGTTCTTCCCATCTTAGAAAGGGGATGAGTAATGGCTAGGCCCCTTGGATTCACTGGTCCTGCACAAGCAAGGGCTTCCCTGTCTAACTCTTAATTTTCATTTCCAGGGTTGTCAAATGGAACACAAATGTTTGATGTCACTCACACCACTTCTCTGTGGTAATTAAATACCGCTCATGGCCTAAAAGGGTACAGCACTTCACAGACCATAACAGATTTGGTCCTTAGGAGATAGCTCTTGAGTTTGTCAGACTCTGGAGAAACACCCACGGCCTTTGGTGGGATCTCAAGGCTGTGCACTCCCCAGGTTATAATGATGGTCCCTGATATTTCCTGGCTGCTCCTCCCTGTAACCAGTCGGGGCTCCATGCCTTAGAGCTGGGACCTGAGCAGTGGGGCCTCCAGCAGTGGGAAGGGTATTGAAAAGGTATGATTTCCCATCATTCTAAATGCATCTGGCATCATCTACTTCCCTCTTCTGCCAAGCACAGAATTGGGTTCCTGCTAGACCTGATAACCCAGAAGCCACTGCCCACAGACAGCAAACCAGAAGTTGGATAACTGTCATCACTGCTCCCGTTTAACAGTAGGGTCAGGCCACATCTCCGACCCAGGGATCAAGCCCAGCATGTCCAGGAACTGGGCCTCTGGATTCCATCCCCCTGGCTCTGCCACAGTGTGGACCCCAGGACCTTGGTTCCCCTCAAGACATCCCCACCTGGCAGCTTCCTCCTTCTAGGATCAGCTGCAAGGAACAGTGTCCATGTCACTGGTTTAGGCAGAAGGATTCATTGCAGGCTGCTCCGTGGCCCCAGTAGTCCTTAGGAAAGCTGAAGAAACATCTCCAGGAGGAGCCACTGGCAGCCTCTGCCACCATCTAGCAGACCCTATCCCCCGCTCAGTGGCCAGATGCTTGCAAGCCTGTAGGCCCCTGGACATGGACCTCATGGCGTCTGCAGCCCTAGTGCCCAGGGCCTCGGAGGACTCAGGTTCCTTTGCCCTGCTCTCCAGACCTCTGGACATGTGCTACCCCGTCCCCTCTGCCTCCACCCTCCTTCCCTGTGCCCCGTGTCTGCTGATCTCCACACCCCGGGCCAGGTATCACGCCTCTCACTACCTCTGGCCCCAGAGGCCCAAGGGGTGGATGATGAGCTGAGCCCTCTGCCTGAAGGAGGTGAAGCACTGAGTTTTGATTCATGGCAGCCCCATGCAAAGTGGAGAGGCCAGACTCAGACCCCAGCCCAGGACAGGGTTTGAGGGTGTTCGTGGGATAAAGAAAGAAGGCCTGGGGAAAGGGATGGGTGGGTGGTGGAAGGTGAAGTCATTACACTTTCTTCCTCTCTTCAGAGCCCACGTACACAAATGGCCAGGTCAGCAGGACTGTGGTTGAAGTTCGGAGTCAAAAGTATGTGGGACACCTGCACAGGACCAGTGAGGAGTTGGAGACTTCAACCTGTTTGAGTCAGGTAAGTCTATGCCAAATCGCTAATGCACAACTTAATCATTGCCAAGGTGACCACTGAGGCGTCACCTGTGGTCAGGCCAGGAGAGGTCTATTACTTTGCTGGAAAGTTAAATGCCTTCCAAAATCAGTGACAAAAACAAGGAAGTAACTGAAAGAAACAGTGAGGCTGGGGAGTTATTCAGGTTTTCCCAGGGTTTCAAAAGAAAGGGTGCTCACTCTTCAGTTTTTATACTTTAACCAGGAAGAATGCCTCCAGCTCCCTACAAGAGGGAAAATAATTCTTTTCTTATGGGGCCTGGGGTACTGGTGGAGGTTGAGCGCCCTTGGGCAGAAGCACTTCCTCCTGCCCCACTTCTTGGAGGCTAGTGGGGCTCAATCTTGACTGTGACCCCAGCCCCAGGTCCTAGTAAAGTCTCTTCCCTTTGTTCCCAGCCCACACAAGTGTCTATGGAGAAAATCTGATGGGGTCTGCAACAAGGCTATTAGAATGAATGAGTTGAACACAGACAGTTGCAACTATACCTCATTAAAGTCGCAAATTACATTTGTAAGTAAGGATTACAGCAATGGCTTTCCTGATAATATGCTGCACTGGGAAAGCAGCTGCTGCACTCTCAAGAACGAATGCACTTGTGTTTTGCACATGTCACCTGTGAGACGAGAGCAAGAGGCCACTTAATCACTAGAGTCAGATCTAGTTTAGCTCTCCCGTACTTTCATTTCCACACAGGTGAGGACACAGGTTTTGAGGTTAGGAGTTTTGAAAATGACTTTCTGATACAAAAATCAGCATGCTACTTTTTTTCACTGAATGCTTTGCTTTCAGGATGTCTGTCGGTTTCTGCGCAGGAATTGTCAGCAAGGCAAGGTTCTTAGCATTTGATCCCTACTGTAATCTGCTTTCTCAGGCTCTCCCCAGAGCTACTGAACCAGAGATTTGGGTGGGGCTGCAGTTCCTGTGTATTGTGCTGTCAGGGGATTCTGACACCCGCTAGAACAGACCCAGAACCCTGGGTCTCTCCAGCATTGGGTTGGAAACCATGTCTCTTGTACTAGCCATGTGTCTTGTACTCTTATATTAGCCTGAGCTAATGCTGCTCCCCCTGAAGTAAAACTGGCAAAATGTTCTCTACTTTTCATAGTTTTGCTTTATCTTTAGTTTTTTTTTCAACCAGTCAATTTTTGAGGGGAATAGCACATTGAAATTTAGATAACAATATATACTATTCATTTCCAGTAATCAGCAAAAACTCATCAAGAGTAGAGTGAATAAAAAAAAAAGAAAAAGAAAAAAACAAGAGTGAACAAGTGAATTTTTATGTCAACACAATAGGTTTACTGTTCAGTGCTAAAAATGAAGTAGATACAGAGCACATGTATGCGTAAACACACACACACACACACACACACACACACACACACACACGTGTCACCTAAGTCCCAAAGAGGCCCTTGCCTCTATGTTTCTTCCCCAAGGAACTGGTTCTGTAACTGTCCTGCTCTGGCCTTGAACCCCTGCCTGGTACCTAGTGTGCTAGCCTCTGAATCCAGCCAGAAATGCCACAGCCTGCAGGCTTCTGACACTTGGAGCTGACCGAGGCCTGGGCTCTGGCTCCAGAACTGGTGTGGCTGGTGCTGCAGCAGGCAGGGTCTGGCCTCTTGACCTTTGCCTGGGTAGAGAGAAGTGAAGGCAGAGGAAATGCAGCACAGGTCAGCAGAAGGATGCTGTCCCCAGCAGGGGCTCAGATCAGGGATGTGGATGAGTTGGGGGGCATCCCAGAAACTGGACCACTCAGAGGCCCCAAGGCCCTCTGGCTCCCACCCAGCAGGTGGCCTAGTGAGTCACCCTGGGCGCCACCCTTCTGCTGACTGCAGCTCACAATGGCCCAGTTGTGTTGCTGCACTTAGCTGCGGGTTGAGTTCCAACCCAGAGCCTCAGCCCAGGGACCTCAGAGACAGAGAGAAACAGTGATGAGAGAAGTCTTTGTGCAAATCTTCTGTGCAGAAGGAGCCCCGGGGTCATGGTCTGGTGTGGTGGTTCAGGATGAAGAGGCACTAGAAGAGCCAGGCTCTGCCACCAGCTGGTGCTGAGGGCCTGGGGGTGTCAGAAGTGATGTGACGAGAGGACAGTTTGTCCTAGGTGGGAAACTGTTGGGCATTTTCAGTGGAGGTCAGACAGAAACCCCTGAGAGTGTGAAGTCCAAACGAGACTGGTAGGTCTCAAGACACTGCAATGTCTTTAACCAAATGAGTCACTGGGTCACAGTCACCCTCTGTCCCTTGGCAACAGGTGCAGACATTTAGTTGAGACTGTGTGAAAACAAGGAAAGTTGGCTGGGCAGTCCAGCGTCCTCTGGGGTTGACAGTCTGTCCTGGAGAAACACTTAGACCTGTTTCTGCAGGTGGTAACATTTCTGATCAGCTGTGACTGGTGTTCACCCATGGTGAATGAACTATTACTAGTGCATGTTTTGACTGGGGGCATAAGAGGCACAAGATTCCTTCTGAGAAAGAAGTTAAAACAACCCTGTCCTCATAGAACTTCACTCTGGCCCTGTGTTGGACAGAGTAAATAATGACCATAGTAAATAAAGAAATTATTCATCCGTCAGAAACTGGTAAGTACTATGGGGGGAAATGAGCAAAAAAAGGGGCAGGGCATAGTATTAATATGACAGTCAGGGTAGGATTTATTGAGAAGGTTCTTGAGAAATTTTTCTAGATTATATAGAATGAGTTCAATATTCCACAACATCCAATGTGCTGTTAATTGATGTCATTCCATTTTTAAATTTGGCAAATATTGTTAACAGGTGTTTTTGGTGAAAATATTGACTAAAGATAAAAGCACCTTCTAATTATCTCTGGGAAACCAAGCAGGGTGGAGATCAGAAATCTATCTCCTAAATATTTTTCTACAATCAGTATAATCAAGTTGAGCATCTGTAGGATTCAAAGAATTTGGATCCACGTGATTCATAATATATGAAATTTTTTGTCTTTGTTTTTCATTCAGATAATTCATATCCATTGTAGAAAATCTGGGTTATATTAAAAAGTGTGAAGAAAGTATAAATATCTCTAATTCCGCCAAATGATCTCCAGGTTATTGAGTAGCCAATATCACCATCTCAGCCTTGAGGGAAAAGAAAAAGCAACCTTAAAGATGGACCACAGATGCCAGACATGGGGACAGTAAGGGTGGACTGGCACCAAAGATCACTTCCAAACCACTTGTAGCCAAGACAGCACTTGAATCCCCAGCACCTGGAGCAACCACCGTGATGGGGTTGGTGAGGCTTGGATGCTATGTAGACATCTGCATTCTGGTTGGGCCGATATCTTGGCTGGCACCATTACTTCACTTTCCGTACTGTCTGGCTCCTGGCTCCTTTACGGGATCCCCTGACTATGCGTGGAAACAAATTCTGCTAGCTCTGTATGTGGTTGCATAGAGTTTGGGGTTAAAATCATTTCACTGGTGCTTCAGGTACAGACGCCTGGTGAGGTCTCAAATCTTGGAACACTCACCATCAGCTTCATTTAGACAAGTTAGCACATTAACTCACAGGTTTCCCTTTTGTTAAATGCATTTAACAAGCTACACAGGGTTCTGAGCACTTCACATTATGTAAACCTATACAGAGGTCTAAGTACTCCAGGGCCATCTTTAAGGGCTGCCTATATCACGCAGCTCTGTACCAGTGAGCTGGGCCATCAGGAACCTGAGTGGCTGAGGATCTTATAGGAAGGTGAAGGTCCCCTAGTGGCTAGAGCCACAGCCCAGAGTCTGAGTGAACTGATGTAACTTGGCAGCTTCCATGGAGCCCCAAATGCTGGGGGCCCAGTGTCCTGACCAGCTCCCCCAACCTAGTACCCATAGCCTCTGTGCTGGCAGGTGCAGGCTGAGTGTTGCCCACCTCCTCCATGCTCTGAGGACAACCATTTTTAGGGATGGGAATTGTTGACCACATCTGGTAAGGAGGTAAGGTTGGTGTAGGGCTGAGGTTTCGGGCTTCCCTGGCTGATGCTCTCATGACTTTGAGTTTCAGAGATGGATAGCAGCCCTGTCTCGCTCACAAACCTTTACATTCAGAGAAGCAAGGTTGTTCCTATGAAGTTACAGGGCTGATAAGAACCAGCTGGGTTTCCCCACGCATGGCTCTGAGCCATCTCCAGTGCTGCAGAGGGGCCCATGAGCATCACAAGACAGCGGCTAGCATCCTACAAGGTCCTGGGACTGAGATGGCCCTGTTAATGCACCTGGCCCCCTGAACAAACCCTGTGCTACCTTTCTGCTGCTGTGACAAAATGCCTAAGACAACTTAGACACAGGAAAAGGCTGACTTTGGCTCATGGTTCTGAAGGCTCCTATCCATGGTGGCTTGGCCTGTGGCTCTGGTCCTGCAGCGACACAGGACATCACGGTGGGAGCAGGTGACAGAAGAGGCAGCTCCAGGATGTCCCAGGGTGCTGGCTCCTTGATAAACAAACACTCATCTAGATCCGGCCAGGGCAGCAGTGGGCTCTCATGGGTTGCCTGTGGTGAAACTGGAAACAGCAGCACCAACTACAAGCTTTCAAGAAGCTCCTCAGGGCTGGGGATTTAGCTCAGTGGTTTCACTGCCTGCTGTGCAAGCTCAAGGACCCCAGTTTGATCCCTGGTACCAAAAAAAAAAAAAAGAAGAAGCAACTCCTCAGGCCAAAAAGTGCACTGCCCTGGCCCCAACCATACTGCATTTCCTCCCCACTTTCTGCTGTGCACACACTGCCATTCAGAGGGATTCCAGCAGGTCACTGTTGCACACTCCAGGGGCCCTGACATCCACAGGACCTGTGTTTCTCCACAGTAAAATGGACAACATCTCTATCTGCTTTGTCTACTTCGACATCTCTCCTAGGACGTCGCTGGCAAACTCAGGTATCAGACACTCAACTTCATCAAAAGCAGCAAAAAGAGAACAAACTCAGGAAAGTACAAACTCGTAGAAATCTCTTTCTTAGTACTAGGGTTTGAACCCAGGGCCTTTGCAGTGAGCTGCATCCCTATACCTTTTTGACTTTTTATTTTAAAACAGGGTCTCACTAAGATACTAAGTTGCCCAAACTGGACTCGAGCTTGCAGTGCCCCAGCCTCTTGAATTCCTTCCAGGATGGAGTGGGCAGCGCTGAGCCTGGAGCAGAACCTGGGGTTGGCCCTGCTATCCCACAGAGTGGCCACATGGCCTTGCTGGCTTCACAGTGTCTTCATCTGAGAGTAGGTGACAGCAGATCCTCACCCAGGGCCATGGGGAGCAGCAGACACCTTGCCAGGTGCAGCACGAGTTCTTACACGCAGCAGGAGCTGTCATGGCTATGGGGACACAGACCTGCCTGGCACAAGCCAGGTCACTGGCCAAGAGCCCCAGGTTCCAGGTAAGGGGGCAGTGACTGAGAACTGCAGCTAATGATGGCTTAGTAAGTGGATTTTTCAAACCAATACTCTCCAAAGAGTAAAGGTCAAGCTCGACTTCCTGGGCTCTCCTGGAGTTGTACCCATTAAAGTTTATATTTCAATGTGCAAAACTGGGGGTGGGAAAGGAAAACACGTGAGTAGCATAGGTGCTAAGCAACTCCCTCTGGGCATTGAGTTTTCAGAAAACAGCCACCTCTCCTTGCCCACGACCAAGTCCATTTTTCCCACCCATAAACACCTGCAGTCTTGTTGTAATACTTTTTTTATTACAATATCCAAAAAACTGGGTATGCAAGTTTAGGGGATCTCAAGACCCCTTCTTCAATTGTAGGAGTGTGCCACCTCAGGATTGTATATTTCAACTATAAAGAAGTTCAAATGTAAAGAAAAAGGAAAATTCAATTTCTTAATAAACATTCTGGGTGTCTTTTCCTACCAATCACATAGTCTTTTGTAAACCCTGAAAAAATTTCCCTGTAAAGCAAATAATATATATATAATATGCACATATTATATATATATATATGTATGTATAGTGTGTGTATAAAGTACAGATAGCTTCCCTTCCCAAAGATCAGCTCTTTTCCTTAATCATCTGCTATTAGTGTCAACAAACGGCTACAGATACATATTACTTTGAGAATTAAATACATAATTGTGAAATTCAAACAAGCCAAAGGGCAAGAGGAGGAAGCACTGTGATGGCACATCTAGGGTCAATCACCAACATGTCTTTCCGCGTCACAGGTTTCCGCGCGTGCAGACTGACTCTCAGGAGAACTCATTGCACGCGCAGCCTCGAAGGCACTGGCAGCTTCCCCCGGCCGACTTAACCGGGTTCCAGTATTGCTATCACCCCAAGTCCCCTCCTGCAGAGCTGGGAGCCCAGGAGGGCTGCAGACACCGGGCCTGGCATCTGCTGCCCAGTGGCAGGGGAGGCTGAAGCCGGGACGGCGCCGACCAAACCTGTGCAGCCCACTGGTTCACTGTTGCCTGATGTCCTTGCGGCGACAGTGAGCCCAAGCACCGGGACACCCTGGAACAGCTCCCGACAGAGGCTGGGAGGCCTGGGGTGGCGGGTGAGAGACTACCCGAGCTGGTCAGAAAGACAGCGCTGCTGGCTGGGCAGCAGGTGAGGTGGCCGAGAAAGCCTGGAGCTGGGGGTGCAGCCACCACTGTCACTGCAGGGCCCGGACGAGGTAGAGCTTCTCGCCATGCTCGCTGGTGAAGATGGGTGCCTTCTTGTAGTGCTCCACCAGCTCATCCATACTGTGGAAGCGCCGCTGCCCGATGCAGTAGACATTGTCCACCAGCTGCACCTTGAAGTGCTTGTTCTTCCCTGACGCTTTGAGAGACACAGAGAAGTCGCTGGGCTGGAGAGGGAGCACAAGGAAGTTAGGACAGGCACGGGTGGGGGCCTGAGTCTGTGCAGAGCAGGGTCACTGGTGGCACCAGAGCCTCTGGGTGGCCCTGAGGAGCCAGCCACAGGCCTCAGGCTCTGGAGAGACAAAGGAAATGGTGCTCAGCACCATTCAGGTCCAAATGCATGCAAACTCTTCCTCAAAGAGTTGCTTAACATAAGGTGTGGCAGCCACGCTAACAGACATGCTAGGGACACCCGAAATTGGAGGCCCATTCCCCAAATTCTCTTTAAAAACCTCATATAATCTGCAGTGCTCTGCCCGAGACAGCAGGTCAAAATTCCACTTCCTCCGACTTTGAACTACCAGAAATGAAACCGTCAAATACTTCCTAATTTTAAGCTTTTTAACAATAAAGCGTGGGGGAAACTCTGGGTGCATTTTCAGCAGAATGCATAATGTTCCCAAGGGACCTGCAGCATGGACTTAGCACAGTTACTGAGAAGTGTTTAGTATGGTGTGGCGATGATGTCAGTACCTGCTTTTATTTGAGTGTACTTTAGAAATGTCATTTGTATTAAATTGGCCTTTTCTTTCAACTACTGAAAAACATGCAGGAAGGATATTGAATGAAGAATGCTCTTTGTGAAAATAATTCTGTAAACAGCAATCATCTCCTGGAGACCGACTCCACACCAAGAAGCCTGGCCGGGACACGCAGGTGCACTGGCATCATGCAGAGCACTTGGCTCTGCAGGCAGCAGTATGGGGGAGGCAGAGGGCAGCTACAAACTGCTGGGGTCCATGAAGAGGGGGCAGCTTATGGGGAGTCAAGGGCAGGTGGGGAGGAGACTGTGTGTGTGAATGTGTATGAGAGAGGGAGCAAGTGCTCATGAGTGTGGGGATGTAACTGCGTGTGAATGAGTACGTGTGACTGTGTGTATGTCTGTGTGCATGTGTACGAGTTCACATATGTATGTGAGTGTGCATGTATAATGTGCATGTTTGCATATGCATCTATATATGAGTGCACATGTGTGAGTGTGCACGCATAGATGAGTGTGCTTGTATATGAGTGTATTGTGTGCACATGTGTATAAATGTATATGATTGCACATGTGTACATGAGCATATATATCACTGTGTGTGTGAGTGCATGTGTGCAATATGAGTGCATGTACATGTTTGTACATATGATTGTGTATATGTATGAGTGTGTGAGTGTGCATGTGTCTGCATGTGTATGTGAATATGTACATACATGTATGAGTGTGTGCGTGTGTATGAGTGCATGCATGTGTGAATGTGTGTGTATGTGTGTGCACACATGTGGAGTGGAATCAGGCAAGGTCCCTGAGGACATGGGAGCAGAGACTAAGCAGTGGTGGCCCGGAGTGGTGCAGTGTGTGAGGCCCTGGGAAAGGACAGGAGCAGGAACTGCCCTCCAGGGCCACTGAGGGGCATGAGCCGAGTGGCACCTGTCCCTCAGCCTTGCCTTCTGTCCCACACTGCGTTCCACCCCAGCCCCTTTCTGCTGCTGGACACAGCATGCTGGGACCCCTGGTCCTCCATGGACAGCTGTGCCTTCAGCCTCTGGGGGTACAGTGCCCTACCAAAGCCTCAGGGGCCTGGGGCCAGGGCAGCCCAAATCCCGCTCCTCTGCATGGGGCCCAGGCAGCCTGCAGGGCTGCAGTCTGGACAGTGCCTACTGAGATCCTGGGCCTGTGCCAGCCTCTGTGTCCCTGGGGGCCCAGCTGCTCACCACTGCTCCTCGTCCCTTCTGCAGGACCTTCCAGGTCTACACCATCATCAGAGAAGTGGGTACAAATCAGCAAACAAGGGTGACTCCATCTTGGCCCATACCAATTGGGGGGGTGGGGTCCAGACATCTCCCACTGCACAGGGCCACAGCTGCCCATGTGGAGAAACGGTGGACACAGAGTCATCAACGTTCATGTTTATGTGTCCCTCTGGCCAGAGCAGGCCAAGTGAGAGCAATCCTGTGAGCGCAGAGCCCCAAGCTCTCCATGTGAAGCGGGGGCTTATTGCCCAGAGTAGCAGAAGGAGCTCAGGAAGAGACTTCAGGAAGAGGCTGTGGTGACCCAGGTCAGGCTGCACGTTACCGAGCTTAGGGATCAAGGAGCAGAGGGTGGGAGATGGGGAGCCCGACACCTCAGAGGGTCACAGAGCTCTGATGTCACTCACAGGGAGCTGAGAACCAGCCCATCCACATGTCACAGCAGCCTGCACTGCAGGGTGACCTTCCAGACCCCACGAGGCTGCAACTGCAGTGCCTGGACATATACCCTGATCGCTAGGGCTTTTCTTCTGCAGCTGCAAGCAGGAGAAAGCAGAATTTACAAACTAGGCCCAGTGACAGAAAGATAACAACAACCCCTTTAAAAGAGAACAATTCTAAGCACAGGCTGTAAGAAAAGTTATACACACGTGGACTCCCTCTCTTTTAGAATATCTTATACTTTCCTTCACCATTTTGCTCCGAGGAGACACTGCACTGCCTCCCTGCAATACAACTGGTGTCTTCCAGGGCATTTTTAAGTGAAATAAGGGTGACTCGGACATCAGCAGGTGACCTGACCATCTGATAACCCGGTGGCTACTAAGCCACTCATAGGTGGAAGGCGTGGGATTCCATCACACTACTCAGCACATGAAGCCACTGAAAACTTAGGAACATTTTAGGACTGGAGTTTTCCACTTAATATTTTCAAACTGTGGGTAACTGAAACTGAAGAAAGCAAAGTTGAGAACTGGGGATGACTGCATTCTAAAGAGCAAAGCCTTGAACTCTCAGCGGCCACACAGTGCTTCCGGTGACCACCTTCACAGACCGCATGAGCCAAGCACAGCCAGCCTCAGCCTTCTCCGTGTGACTGTCTAGGTCAGCTGTTGTGTGTGGCTCTGAAAGGAAGTCAAGAGCACAGGTACTGGCCAGCGAGTACTTTCCTGGGGTAAGGCTGGGCACCCTGACACCATCCTGTGCCTGGGTCGCTGTCCTGGTGGACTAGGAGGGTCACTATGGCCAGTCACACACACTGTGTGTAATGGAATACACAAGCCACAAGACACAACCTTCTCCCTGTGAACTCCAAGTTTCCAATTACTTTAATTTTTATTTTAGTTTTGAGTTCTGTGCAATTAGTATTGCAGAAGCTTGTTCTATGGTAGAAGTTGAGCCTTTGGGACAAGAGGGGCTGTCTCGCTCTGACGGCTTAGCCTGAGCCTGGACAGTGCTGACGTGAGGGGGACTTTAATCAACCACAAATAAAGCAGTCTGGTGTTTAGGGAAGGCTGAAGAGGAGTGGGTTGTGGTAAATACATGGTTCACCCGATGTTAATTAAACCCGATGGTCAGCAGATGACCTTCTGAACAGAGAAATTTGTGCTCAATTTAAGTTCCTTAAATTAGCACCATGGAGTGTGCATACATGCGTTACGGCAGCCAAGCTGGCGTGGCACGAAAGGTAGTTTTTCATTTCACAGGCTCCTGAGCAGAAACCTTAAAGTTAAGGACACAGAACAAACTTAGCCAAGCAGGAGTGCTGAAAGTTTCAGTGTCTTATTTCAAATGGAGCAGACTTCCCTCAGGAAATCTGAAAACAAATGGTCTCTGCCCTTTCACATACCATTAGGTGCTAGGGTGAGTATCCCTTACCCAAGATGCTTGGGACCAGAGTATATACTCATATATACTTCTACACACAGACTGATGATATAATTTTATACAATATTTTAAAATAATTTTTTAATTTTTGGTGCCGGGGATCGAACTCGGGTCCTTGTGCTATTTTAAATAGTTTTGTACATGAGACAAAGTGTCATGCGTGTGGAATTTTCCACCAGTGGCCTCATGCTAGCACTCACAAGATTTCAGCCTTTGAAGCACTTCGAATTTGGGCTAGGGTGCCCAATGTGTGCCACCAACACCTCTCACTGGAGTCTGAGATGAACAGGCCAGGAGTCTCTCCAAGCATGAGCCCAAGCTGGCCAATTCCCAGCCCTGGACCTCCTGAACTGGGAAGTGGCCCTGGTGAGCCCTGGCCACCTACGAGTGACCCTCAGCAGACTGTTTCACAGTCCTTCAGGGCACCCTGATGCAGACTGAAAACCAAAATACACTCCAGTTGGAACACCAGCTGTGTTGGAGCCACCAGAAAAGATGGCAATGTGATTTACAGGCATCACAACGGGACCTTGCCCACCTTCAATGAGTCTGCCATGCCTTTCTAGTTTTGCCCAGACACTCCTTGTGGGCAAATTCCCAACAAGACATCTGGGACACACTGTAGAGCAATGCAAAGCATCCCTGCATCTGCTGGAGACACAGCTGCACCAGACCCCAGACATTCCAGCCTTCAACAGCGCAAGGCAGGGCTGGTTCCCACGGAGGCCCCTCCACGGTCAGCTCTCTGTTCTGCTCCAGCCACACAGGACCTTGGGATTCAGACTGAGAAGTCAGAGGACAAACAGCCAGGCCACACACGCCCAGCAGTGGACTGTGGACTGCTGAAGGTACAGTCCGAAACAAGAGCTTGTCTGAGAACCCTAGCACTCACGAGAAGTACAGTCAAAACACTGGTGGACACTGAGGGCACTGGACCCCCTGGGGACCCTGCACAGCTGCTTAGTGTCTACACAACATAAGCAGGCTCAACCCAGACTGAGAGATCCTGGAGACAGCCAAGAGGGGACCACGATGCCTCTTGTACCCTAATCCTGGAAGTCACTCACCACTGCTTCTGTCGATCACATCCTGTCCATGAAGTGAGCATGGATGGGACGGGCTTCCCCTCCATGGTGGAGGGTGCTGAAGGCCTCATGGACATCTTCCCAGGTCACCCCAGATACCACACTCTTCCAGCTCCACTGGATTCTGGCCATGACACCTTCTCTGTACCTTTTCAACCCCTCCTCCACAATCCCGAGCCCCACCCTGCCACTAGACTTACTTAGTATCACTTCTCTTGCTGATCATGGGGCAGATTCTGCAT